AAGTCTTGTGTATGTGATGTGTGCGTGAGTTTTCTTTAATTGGCTATGTATGAAAAAGTGATATTTTAATTAAAGGGTGATTATGAATATGAATTTTTTATTCACAATGAAATATGAATAGGGTTATGTATGAAAAAAATATAGAATTTAAATATTAAATTATCACACAAATACATAATATATATACAATTTGTTAAAATAGTAAGACAATATTGCTAAAAATTTTCTAAAGTATTTAGGAAAATTGATGACAGTAAAATTGAGAAGTTTTAGAAAGGATATAAATTATCGATATTAATTTAGGAAAATTGATGGCTATAGCTATAATTGAGATATTTTACAAAGGATATAACTGCGAAAGATGAATCTAAATATAAAAAAATTGATGGATTTCTATAAAATTTAGATGTTTTTAGGAAGGTTATAACTTTGAAAGATTGATCTATATATTTTCTATTAATTTAGAAAATATTGATAGATTTCTATAAAATTGAGATGTTTAAGGAAGGATATAACTGTGATTTCAATGCATTTCTTGATCGAAGGAGGCATAATTCTCTTTATATATTGCTTTTAGATGAAAAATAAAATTAAAGAACAATGAAAAATCATTCCTCATCATTGCCTTTGCATTCTCACTTTTGATAATATCTGATTATGGTTCCTTGGCTTCATGAAACAGGTGATAATGCTTTAGCTTTTAAGAGAATAAATATACTATGTTTATGATTTTCATTTTTTTTCTTCTATAAACTTGTTTAGAATCTAATATGTATGAAGATCTATTTTCTTACATAATTTTACTTAATAGAATATATTGTAATTATTGAATGACATGATCTAGCTTGCTCATAATTTATTCTCTATATTTACAAAATTATTTTATGATTATTATGTTTTATTTCTTACAATATGCTCTCTTTAATATGGTTTACGTGATACATTTCTTAAAATAAAATATGAGAAATTATCAAATACATTATATTATGTCATAGTTGTTGTGATTGAACTCTTTGTTGTAACAATTTGGGATATAATCTATAATTGAATCACGATTAAATAATATTCAAATGATGATTGAATATATTGATCGAACACTTAATGACTAATGATCGGTTAATCTTCGCACTAAGATTGAACCTTCTTAGAATTATCTTCAATCAATGTATTAATAATAATTTTACAATCTTAGTGCTATGATCTAATTATCTTTGAAACATTCGAACTGCGACCTAATCATCGGCAAACACAATCGATCAATTATTTATTCGCATGGTGTATTGTTAACTTTGCTCATGATTAATATATATATTTCAGAGCATGATATGAAATTTCTCAACCGTTAGTAAACCTATGCTCACTCTTATCATGTATTTCAAGATTTATTCTCTATATTTACAAAATTATTTTAAGATTATTATGTTTTATTTCTTACAATCTGCTCTCTTTAGTATGATTTATGTGATACATTTCTTAAAATAAATTTTGTATTTCTTCATTTTCAATATTTTTTTGTATATACTGCTTATTATAGAGTTGACGAAGAGAAAAAAGTCCACCGCTTGTAGTTTTATTTATTTATTTGTGTTTTAGTTAAAAAGATTTTGACATAAACTAAATATGATATTTCATCATTTTCAATATCATTTTTTGTATAGATGATTGCATTTAAAAAATATGTTAATGAATGTAATGTTCATTTTTTCCAAACTCTTGGAACTCTGTTGGCAACTTAAAGATAAATCATGTCATGAGCGCTGCAAATGATGAAAATAGAGCCCGTTATTTGCCTCAATTTGTTCTGGTCAAGGGAGCAGTGTCATAACTCTTGTAGTTCAAGAATTGATAGCAATCCACCCCCCATGATTTTCTATGTCACACTGGTGATAAAGATTAATTGTAAATGGACATTAACTTCAGATAATTTTAAAATTTTTAAAAATATCATACTCAAAAGGAAACCTATACGAAAATTCACACAAATAATCATTGATAAGGTGAAACACTAAAAAATCTCCTAAGTAAGAAAAAAAATGAATTAATTCTAAGTATTACATAAGTATATCTACAACCATTAGCCTTTTCATAGAGGATCACTTGGCAAAATTAATTATAATAATAGTATTAATAAGAGGGATAAAAGTCAATAACATTATATATTTTTTTGTCAATTTTATATACTTTATGTAATTCTTCACCGGTATCTAGTGAGGATTTTCTAAAAATCAGAGTCAATAGTATTCCACATAGGATCATCTTCACCTATGTGACATAGAAAAACACAAGGAGTTCTACCTTCGTTTGTATGGAGTGGGGAGCCATTTACCCCAAAAAATTTTAAATCATGTGACATAAAGCAAATGTAAGCTCACATGCTAATTATCTGAGAGAATTAGAGAGAGGGAGAGAAGAAGAAGCCAACGAATGTAAATTGTAAAAGTAGATTGATTACAATAGGTGTTACAGAGTCTGTTTATATAGACTTAAGAGGGTACAGAGGTAAATACAGGAGATAATTACTAATGCTAATATGTAACGCCTAATATCCTCCTGCAAATTAATCATTCGGATTTTGAATGGTTAATTTGGAGCGAAGATAATTAAAGCGAGTAGAAGAAAGAGGTTTGGTTAGCACGTCTGCGATCTGTTCTTGTGAAGATAGATGAGCTAGAAGAATGTCGCCGGACTGAATATGCTGACGGATGAAGTGGTTGTCAATTTCAATGTGCTTCGTTCGGGCATGAAAAACTGGATTCTTGGCAAGTGAGATTGCAGAAATGTTGTCACAGTAAATGGTGGTCGGCCCGGTTTGCGGAAGATGCATTTTCGCAGCAAGGAGACATAGCTAGATAGCCTCGGAGGTGGCTGCTGAGAGAGCACGATATTCAGCTTCAGTCGAGGACTTGGCAACTGTGACTTGCTTCTTGACAGTCCAAGTGATCAAGTTGGGACCAAGAAAGGTGCAGTAGCCCGAAATAGACTTCCGATCCTGCGCGTCAGAAGCCCAATCTGCATCGGTATAATTCTGTAGCTGGAGAGGACCGGTGTGGATGGGGAGACCGAAGGAGAGAGTCCCTTTTATGTAGCAGAGGAGGCGCTTAAGGGATTGAAAGTCTTGAACAGTGGGGTGTTGCATCTGTTGACATACCCGGTTTGTAGCATAGGCAATGTCTGGCTGTGTAATAGAAAGATATTGTAGCGATCCCGCGAGGCGACGATAGAGATAGGGATCAGAGAAAGGAGTGAGATCCGGCGTCAGCTTGTGGGAAGGTGCCAGAGGAGTCGAAGCCGCTTTGCAATGTTCAAACCCGGAGTCCCGAAGCAGTTTAGAAGCGTAGTGAGATTGGTTGAGGAAGAAGTTAGCTCCATTCCGGAGCACTTGAATTCCGAGAAACAGAGACACTTGGCCTAATTGTTTTAGTGCAAACTGAGAGTGTAAGGCTTTGAGAATAGAGTTTATTTCATCCGTGTTGTTACCTGTGACAAGAATGTCATCAACATAAATAAGAATGTAGAGATGCGTATGTTTGTGGTTAAAAATAAGAAGGGAGGGATCGAAGCGGCTAAACCCGAAGCCACGTGTTTGGAGAAACCCCGTGAGCTTATGAAACCATTGTCGCGGTGCATGTTTGAGTGCGTAGAGTGATTTCTGAAGTTTGCAAACGGCGTATTTTTACAAGCAGCTACATCTATTTATACAATTTATATTAGCTGTCATCAGTACGGTACAACTGTCAAGTAACTAAATGTGGTATGAGACATTCTTGAGTTGTATTATCATCTAACACCCTCCCTCAAGCTGATGTTTCGGTAGAAGATATCAGCTTGGATGATATCAGACGAAATCGAGCAATAGGTAATGATTTTGTGAACAAGTCAGCAAGTTGATCTTTGCTTGAAATATGATGAACATGAATTGTTTGATCTTTGATGCAGTTTCAAATAAAATGACAACCAACCTCTATATGCTTTGTACGAGAATGATATACCAGATTATTTGCTAGTGCTAAAGCTGATGTATTGTCACAATATAGAGGTGTGGAAGATCTTTGCTTACAATCAAGTTCTTGCAATAATTGTCTCAACCATATTATCTCGATGGCGGCAGAGGCTAAGGCTCTGTACTCTGCTTCTGTCGAAGATCTAGCTACAGTTGGTTGTTTCTTTACACTCCAGGAGATAAGAGAATTTCCTAGAAAATTACATAAGCCAATAGTTGACTTCTGATCCAACTAATTACCTGCCCAATCTGAATCTACTTAGGAATGTAGTTTAAGTGATTCACCAGAGAGATAGATAATCCATAGTGAATTGTACCTTTAAATAACCGAAGTATTCTTTTTAAAGCCTCAAAATGACTTTCTAATGGATGATGCATATATTGACTTACTTTGCTCACTGCATATGAAATATCCAGTCTAGTTAAAGTCAAGTATTGAAGAGCACCAACCAATTGACGGTACAACAGCTGATTTGTACATGGCTTTTCTTCAGTCTTGATGGCTAGTGGTTCAGTCCCACTCCTTGAAAATTAAATAAAAAATAAAATAATAATAATAATAAAATTCTTCTCGTATTAATGAACCTAGTACCTGAACTCAGAAAGCCGAGACATTCTTCTGCTGAGCAGCTTGAAGTTGAATGACCAACATACAACAACCATTAGGGTGCAAGCTCAATGATAAAGAACAAAGCATGAAGAACTATTAGCACATAAAACCCCCACTACAGAGCAGGTAAAATGATGTTCACCGGAAAGCTCAAACAAACGTGTAAGCCTAATCGTTAGTTTAAGAACCTCGCCTCAATGCAGTTCTCCATTCAATTCGATTCTAAGTGCTCATAAAATGCCTTGAAGTTGGGTGTTTTACATTATGAAGTATGTGACAATCGATAGTAGCTGAGTGATGTTTAGTTGGTCTCCAGCTTTAAGTATGATTAAAATTCTTAATGAAGAATATCTATATTTTAATATTTTTAATAGTTATTTGATATCTCGATTGCTAGTGAGTTGCATAATTATTTTAACATAATGGCTTTACTATCACTTGTTTATGTATTGATACAATTGTATCGTTGGTTTCATAGAAGATATCATTTTTGATCTTGTTAGATGATAATACAACTCAAGAATGTCTCATACCACATTCAGTTACTTGATAGCTGTACCGTACGTATGACTAATATAAGTTGTATAAAAAGATGTAGCTGGTTGTAAAAATGTATGAAATACAAGATACTTCTGCTTTGGTCTAAAGCAGAACTTCCTCTCTTATTTCTCTCTGTATTTCTCTTACAGTTTCTTACATGGTATCAGAGCATCGCTGATCCCTTATTTTTCACCTCTGTCTCCTTACTTCATCTTCGTATCGCTAAATGGCCGGCTCTACCTCCTCCCCACCTTCTATTGATAGCGTCTCATCCATCAACACTATCCAGATCCCTCCACAGTTAAAATTCTTGATCAAAAATATTAAGAATCTGGTATCACCAACCCTAACCTCCGACAACTTTCCACTATGGCGATCGCAAGTGGAAAAAGTATTCGCTGCAAATGGATTTGAGGGATTTTTTGATGGATCTTGTTCATGTCCGTTACAACAAATCTCTTCATCCATCGGTGCTTAATCTGCGTATGATACGTGGACTTTACTTGATCAAAATCTTGCTGCTGCACTAATGTCAGTGATTTCACCTTCCATCCTACCATATGTGCTATCCCTGGCTCACTGTGTCGAGATTTGGTCTACGCTCAATCATCATCTTCAAGCATCAGCAAGATCATGCATAATGTAGTTGAAAAATGAGATTCAATTCCTATTAAAAGGTGATCACACAATGACTCAATACTTACTTCTTGTAAAATCCAAAGTAGATAAAATTGAAGCTGAAGGATGCCAGATAGATTCGGAAGACATCATACTCCATACTTTAAATGGATTACCTGCAACGTATCAGTCATTTAAAATGGCTATACGTACTAGCCATCAGCCTCTGGATCTTGATGAGCTATATACGCTACTCTGTACAGAGGAGCAAACTCTAGCTCAAGAAGCTGCTCGTAATCTGCAACTACTTCAAATCTCAGATAAAACAATGGCACTAACACATCCTTTCGATGCGGTCGTGGTCGGTACAATAACTATCATGGACGATTTGCTAACAACAGCAATTCCCAAAACTCAACAGGTCCGGGGGAGAAACAGTCAAACCAATTAATTATCTATCAAATCTGCACAAAACAAGGTCACTCAGCTCTCAAATTCTGGCACAAACACAATCCTTCATATCAAGAAACATCAAAAACTATTTTATTCACCCCATCAGATGAAACTCGATCCAATGAATGGTTCTTGGATAGTGGGGCATCTATTCATCTCACTGCATATTCTACTCAATTCAGTTCGGTGGAACCTTATACAGGTAACTCAAAAGTTACACTTGGAAATGGGCATCAGTTATCTATTTCAAATACCGGCAAAGGTCTCCTCCTAACCCCCACAGGTAATCTTAAACTGAATCATATTCACCATGTTCCAAATCTCTCATTCAACTTACTATGTGTATACCAACTAACTCGGGACAATGCGTGCACGATATCTTTTTCCTCCTATGGTTATCAAATCAAGGACTCGCGGACTAATCGTCTCTTACTTCAGGGACCTAGTCACAATGGTCTCTACTCCATAAATCCATCCAAAGCTACGTCATATCTGGCTCTATTTTCGGCTCAACTGGCTCCAGATTTATGGCATAGTTGCCTTGGTCATCCCCATCATCGCAAGCTTCAGTTAATGGCCAATCTAGATCCTTCAATATGTACTACTCTAGCCAATAAGAATTGTAATACATGTAATCATGCCAAGAGCAGACGATTGCCATTCACTTCTTCTATTTCTAATATAGCATCTACATTTGAACTCATACATTCGGATGTATGGGGACCCTCTTCTTCCATTTCAATACATGGTCATCGTTACTATGTCTCATTCATAGATGACTATACCCGTTTTTGTTGGGTGTTTCCTCTAAATCAAAAATCTAATGTAGTTCATAAATTCATTGAATTTTATCATTAGGTCATTTATCAATTTGGCAAATCCATAAAAATCATTCGTACTAACGGTGGTGGTGAGTACACTAATCATCATTTTCAACAAGTATGCAAATCATGGGGAATTACACATCAATACACATGCCCTTACACACCAGCTCAAAATGGTGTTGCTTAACGCAAACACCGGCATATCATTGAAACAATTAGAAGTCTTCTTGTTCAAGCCCAAGCTCCACATGAATTATGGGTTCAAGCTCTTATTACTGTTGTTTATCTCATTAATATCATTCTAAGTTCCAAATTCCACAACAAAACGCCGTATGAAAGCCTATACAATAAAATCCCAGTCTATGGTCACCTCAAAACTTTTGGATGTTTGTGTTATCCATGGCTTCGACCTTACACCAAATCAAAACTATCATCCCTATCTACACCTTCATTGGATATGCCGGTTCCCATAAAGGCTGTCACTGTTTTGACCCTACTACTCACAAAATCTACACATCAAGACATGTTGTATTCAATGAAAGTGAGTTCCCTTATCGTACATATACATCTTCACCACAATCGTCAAATCCTTCCACCAACATATCACCACTGCTTCTAGTACTGTCAACTGCGATGTCCAAAATTCCTCATACAAGATCACCTCAACGTTCTGTGATTTTATGAAATTCCTCTTAGCCGCAACCATCTCCACGTTCTCTAGCTTCGCATGATAATTCCCAACCATCTGTACCAAATTCTACATCAAACTTACTAATTCTCAACTCACACAGCACAATTCCTGTTACTCTACAAATCAAATCAACCACAAACAAACCCCAACATCATTCAACACATCCCATGAAAACCAATTACCAAATTGGTCATCTTAAACCAAAACAAATTTTCAATCTAACTCATCAAACCACCCATCAAGATCCCACCTCGTATAACCAAGCTTGCAAGCAAAAACAATGGCGGGAAGCCATGTCAGAAGAGTTCCAAGTTCTTCAATTGCAAGGTACATGGGATCTAGTTCTACCTTGTTCAAACCAAAATCTACTATGATGTAAGTGGACATTCCGCACAAAATACAATTCAGATGGGACAATAGCAAGACTTTAAGCTCAACTGGTAGCTTTGGGTTACAAGCAAGAATACGGACTAGATTATCATGAGACATTTAGTCCTGTAGCAAAAACACCAATAGTGAGAGTTATGATTGTCTTAGCTCTTCATTACAAATGGTATATACATCAATTAGATGTATCAAATGCATTCCTGCACGGTAAGTTTATGGATACGGTGTACATGAAACAGCCGCCAGGATTTTAAGATGCTATTCATCCAAATTATGTATACAAACTTAAAAAGGCACTCAATGGATTGAAATAATCCCCTCGTCAATGGTTTGAAACACTATCATGAGCTTTACATACACTTGGTTTTAAAACAAGCAATTCTGATTCGTCGCTTATGATCTACAATCAAAATAATGCTCAAATATACTCATGTTGGCTCGTCACTCAATATGCTTTATTCTTTAGCAAACGAAGACTTGTTTGGGTAGCTTTTACATAACTTTGATTTTTAGACTCCCACCACAATACCATTTGGCTCCAAATTTTTGTATGTTTTTTTTTTGGAAGTTTTTATGGTTTTTGGTTTGGGAAGAATTAAGGGATAGCACTCGGACTCATGCACACAGTATATATGCATGACTCAAACCCAAAACCTCTTGGTTGGTAGCCAAAGCATCCAACCAACAGACTAATTAAGGAGAGCTACGTGGAAGTTTTATGTTAGAAAGTTATTTTTTACAATCGAGGCAACTTATATATATATATATATATATATATATATATATATATA